TTTTCTTTGATTCTCCTCCTGATGGTTGTTTTGGAGTTTTTAATAGTGACTATAGAGGGATAGCTTGGCCCCGTTTAGTTAGAGAGATGTAATTGTTTTGTTATTCCTTGTTATACAAAAAAAAAAGTTCATCTTTGCCTTGATTAACACATTCTTCATATTTGATCCTCTACATTTCTCGTCTCCTTTAGGAATTCAAATATTTTTGTCTATTTTATCCTTTGGTTTCCATTTACGTGTATTTTTTAAGAAAAATCAAGAGTGAAAAACACAAGGAGCGTCAAATTGAAGCATTGTAAACATTTCTGTTACGTTCTTAAAAGTTCTTGGACTTTCAGGGGAGAATGAGAGATAGAGAACACATAAAGAAAAAATGAAAAAAACTTCTGAATATTACTCACTTGGTAAAATGATACAAGCTATAATCTTTATTTGTACAATCTTATGACTAGCTATCACATCGTACAGTCACAATGCTCTTACTTGCTACCTCACTAACTATTAACAAATTGTGTTATAATAGGATCATAACAGTCAACTTTCTCTTAGTTCTGTAAATGCAACGGTAAAGATCCAATTCATTAAGGGATTAATTTATAACTATTATGTTACAGGAAATTTTTTATATTATGTCATAGACTGATCGAAATTCGTGCCTGAAACTTTTGCTTTTTTTTTTTTAAATAACAATAGGCCGCACCTATGTTGTCTCTGCAGGAAATTATAAAATCTCCCTGTCACATGACATACATAAGCCTCATTCATTAATTATTAATTAAATAGAGATAATGAGGATCGAACCCGTTATGTCGAGATTCAAATATCATGTAAAAAAGCAATTCAACCCAAAAATTTAAGCCGTTAGATGAGGGCATTTTTAATATTTTATACTATTGTTTAACAGGGACCATTTTGTTCCTAGTAGACCAAAAATCAAACAAATTTACAATATTGTGTGGTGAAAAAAATTAATTTAATGCAATTTAAATAAATAATTATGAATATATAGTTATTTTCATACTATTTACGGATCTATTGTAGGATGTCACGCTCGGATTGGACGTGAGTGGTCACGCATAAGTTAGGCGTGACCCACAAGACACTCACGCCTAAATTAGGTGCGACTCATCTAATATTGACACGTGGCACAAAAAGTTAACAGTTTAACCGTAAAACTTCCAGTGGAGCTGGGGTGGGTAAAACAGTACTCATTATGTATCTGTATTTGGTGGGGTTGGTGAGCGGACTCGTGAGGGAAATGTTTTAACTCGGGTATCCGAACCAGGTAAAAAAAAATGATTTCACGTAACTTTTCGAGATCTACGCAATGACATCTCATTCGGTATGTTTTATCTCTCACAAACACAGTCCGAATTTATAATAATGGTATTATAAGAGCGTTTAAACCAAGAGCCTCTGAGTTCTTTTCGAACCAACACCAACGCAATCTTCTATTAAAAAATATTGAATTTGTACAAAAAGGTACTAAAAGCAAACATCTATTAAATAGAGATAGGAGCTCACAGATACAGTGAGAGAGAGTGTGTGTGTTTTTTGTCTTTGTTGAGAACAACAATGGAAGTGGAAGAGAGCGGGAGCGGGATGTAGTCTTTTAAAAAAGGTTTTTTAAAAAATATAATATAATGGGAAAAAGGTGCGTCATTTTAAATGACACACATATGTCCTTTCCCGAGATCTATCTCTTTCTCTCACTTAAAATGACACAATTTTGTGTCCTTTAAAATGGTACACATTTTTCCCTATAATATAATGTGGTCTCGTTCCGGTAGTCCCTTTTTAAAACAAAAATTAACAGGTGATTTTTTTGGCTTGAAAGTTCGAATTAGGTGATTTTTTTTATTCCACGTAACTTTTCGATATTTATGCACTGGAAAATTTTCAGAGATTTATTTGTTAATATTGGGAAGTAAAAAAATCAAATAACATCATTCACATAGATAAAATATGCCAAAAGGGGCATCCAATTGCAGGCTTTTCATAGGACTCCTAGATTCTTCCGGTGGACTTTATGCTCTAAAACATGTTTTGATAAGAAGGTTTGAGGTGCTATATATGTTTATAATAATGCATTCTTTGACGTCTATAATAGTATAATTTACCTCAAACCCTCTTATCAAAGCATTTCACAACATAAAAACATATTTTTAATGCAATACATCAAAAGTTTTGCATTTTTTATGCAACTTAAAGAATATTATATTCTCACCAATCTCTCTCACACTTTTATATTGTGGCACTTTTATAGTAGTACCATTGTTGCAAATTCGAACTATATTTGTGAGAGATAAAATATGGCAAATGATGTGTCATTGCGGAGATCTAAAAAGGTTATGTGGAATCAAAAAAAATATACCTGATTTGGATACCCGAGTCAAAAGTTATGACCTTCCGAAGGTTTACGGTTAAACTATTAATTTTTTGTGTCATATGTCAACACCATACGAGTCATGTCTAATTTAAGCGTGAGTGCCTCATGGGTCACACCCAACTTAGGCGTAAGTGGTCACGCCCAATATGGACGTAACATCTTGCAATAAATCCGTACATAATATGAAAATAACTATATATTCGTAATTATTTATTTAAATTACAATAAATTAATTTTTTTTTCCCTACTATGTGGCAAGTGGTAACCATCCATTTTGAGTAATCATCTAATACAACATCAAATCTTTACTATCTTTTGCTAAATTGGACATTTAAAATTGATCAAGAATAAAAATAATTGCGGGAGGGACAAGATTGATGTTAGCACCATTAATTCCCTTATTGCATTATGCCCATCTATAAATAAATATTATCCCTCATCAAATTACCATAAAGAAGCCATGTAGTATGTGATATCTATATGTGGACATTCTCATTATTGGTTTTTCATTTTAATTTTTGGGTGATATGATTTTTACTTATTATCAAAGTCCATCAACCATTTTTCTCATTCTCTTCTACCTCTCTCTCAAAATGCATTGAGATTCTATCAAAACTAACACTTTTTAAGCACATATTTCTTGTAATATGTATTATTAGTACTTTGAGATAGTGCATGCCCTTGGGCTTGGTTAAACTTACGCCTATCCTAGGCTAAAGGCCTTCTTCTGTCATTGTTTGGCCAAATTATTTCTGATTGACTTATTAACTTGCTCAATACTTCTATAATTCTATCCTTTATCTACACTTCACCGCTGAGGGCATATTCCTTTTGATTGACTACAAACCTTTCTACTTACTTTCTTATAAAACCCTCTATTGAAAAAGGGGTAAGATGTGAACTTATATACTGATATGTCTTAACCTCTACTAAACAATATCTCGTAAACCGGGCATCATGGGATAGAAAACTAAGGAGGAGGCTTGTCTAATGCATTAAGCAATTTGATTTATTTATTTTGCCACGTCTGATCATTTTTCATTCTCCTCTCCCCCGTTTTCTATTTTATTTATTAAGTCAATATGTAAAATGTGCACATGCACGTTTGTAATTTATATTCATAAGCATTATGAAAGGGCTTTCAAAGTTAAGAAATTCTCTAATTTGTATGCAGGTTTAATGTTTTTTTTTTTTTGTGACATAGGAAATAAATTTATTTTTTATAAATACATAAATATATAGGAAACTCATATGGGTCCACATAAAAAGAAGAAAGAGAAAAGAAATATGAATTTCACATATTTATATATATATATATAAGATAAATTTATTTATGAGAAAGATTTAACTTATAAAACAATGAGTTAAAAATAAAAGGCAAAGTCAGCAACCAATTTTAATAGGGTTAGTGATTGCTTGGCAGCACATTATTTGGTTGCTATTTGCTACATCACTGCTGCTGCCAGGTGCTAATAGCATTATAGAAACGTCAGGAGATGTCCATGCCACCAAAGTGGGTGAGCAATTTTTATTTTTCTTCTCATAAAAAATTAAAATTCAAAATTAAATTGTAGAACAATAATAAAAAGTCCAAACTAGAAGATGTACGATTTTATTAACCCTAAATGATTTAGGATTAACATAAAGCAATTATAATCATAAAATCTAAAGGTTTCGACAAGAAAAGGAACAAAATTTAGAATCAGTAATTGTCGATAAATTTTTATTAATAAATCATATATAAATCATTTTCTAAATTGGACAACATTTCCTTTTCCAAAACTATTTTCTTTTAAATCTCAACTAAAGGTTTAGTCACTAATACATTACAAAATAAATGTCTTATTTAAGCCAGTATCATGAGAATATTTTTTTATTTAATTCTTTTTTATTCTCAAAATAAACTCCAAAAATAGTTTAATTGACAACTGAGTTTATAAAAATTTACTTGAGTCAAGAATCCAAGAAGACGAGGCGGTACCAACAAAAGAAAAAAGTTACCATACATTAAAACTAAACACTTTCTTTCATAACTTAGTTTCAGGATTTATGAATCAAAACGAGAATGGATCTTTCTCGTGTCTCAACAATTAAAGTGAGACGATATTAACTTCAAGGGTTTGGTGTTTGTAATTTAAAATGATATAAGTTATGTCATTTTAAAAGAGAAATAGACATAGAAAAATAAAAATCATGGGAGAAAGAAAATGAATAATTTTTTTAATTTAAAATTTAAATAATTTTTTTTTCTGTGTCTGTTTCTTTCTTAAAAGGACAAAGTGTTATGTCATTTAAAATAACAAACATTTTTTCCTAACTTCAAATCAACAATGGAAAAAATATATTAAAAGTAAAAAAGAAGAAGAATAATAACCATTACTTATTTTTAGAGAGTGGATTTTCTCATATGAAAAAATGGTCACGTGATCATATTATTTGATCACAACCACTTATTGATTATGAGATAAGAAAAAGAAAAATGTATAATTTTCAAATGAGTGGTCGTGATCAAATAACATGATAACGTGACCATTTTTACACATATCCACTCCCTTATTTTTTATGAATACTTAGTAAAATAGAGACTAAACACAAAGCTAGATTGCAAGAATGTAACAGCATCTCCATTCACAGCAGCGCCAAAAACAAAAGTGCTCCCAGAAATAAAGACGGTGTATATAATAAAGGGCGAACGAGCACTATCGTCACTATTTCAAGTGTGTTAGTGTAGTGAACGAGAGAGAGAGGTGAAAAGTAACGCGCTTTATTGTTGCTTGTTCGGTACAGCACCTAAGGTGAGGAAGCGTGTCTTTATCTTCATATTCACATTTGTTTTATGGTGAGATAATATATAAGTTTAACCCTTTTTATTTTACTTTTCTCCATTCTGTGACTCGCTGTGTAGGGTTTGGTATCAGATTGAAGATGATAGACTTTGCTCGCGTGCAGAAGGAGCTTGCGGAATGCAGCAAAGACGCTGAGGGATCGGGCATCAAAGTGAGCCCTAAAAGCGACAACCTTCTTTTCTTGATCGGTACCATTCCTGGCCCTATTGGAACTCCCTATGAAGGGGGTGTTTTCCAGATTGACATCACATTGCCAGGTTTATCCCCAATTCTTTGTTTTTCTATCAGGGTAGGGTTTTGAATTGGGATTTTTTTTGTTGGTTTTCGATCAATTAAGGTTGTTGTTTGATTTAAAGTTTTTTGAATCGCGCCAATGAGTAATCATTTCCTTTTTCTTTTTTTCTCTTTTACTGTAGATGGATACCCATTTGAACCCCCCAAGATGCAGTTTGCAACCAAAGTCTGGTAGGGAAAATGTTATTTTTTTTTTTCATTTTTTTTAACCCCTTAATGAACAGTGCAATCGATACTATGGAGCATGTGCTGGGCCTCCTTATAGATGTTGGTGGTATAAGATCTTTATTTTTTATTATTATGTCTATATCGGTATAAAAATAGGTAAGGGGAAGAAAAAAGTGTATCTTGCTGTTAGCGTTTGGAAACTCAATTCACATTGTTTGTTAGACACGCTGTTATGTTCTTGAAAATGTATAGTTATGGATTGGATTGGAAGATGGTCTCTTCTGAATCCAATATGTCATCCTTTAGTTCATGGATGATATAGACAATTGTTGCGAGGTTTTGTGCTAGGGTTCCATCTGATTCAATTTTACTGCATGTGTATCTTAACCCACTAGAGAAGCTTAGTGTGCTTATCTTTTTTTCCCCCAATAAATAGAGTATCGAGGTTTAGCATTTCGTCTGAAGATCTTTTAAAATTATGAGTTCTGTATTTTATTTAATGTTAATATCCCATTTACCAAAAAAAAAAAAGGTTAATATCCCCTTCACCATCTCTCATTATTAAACTTCCAAAGTATGTTTTGCATGCATGTTTTGATGTTTTCTCAATTTTGGAGAATAATGATTCTGCCACAGTTTCTATGGCTAACTTGAGATTTCAATTGCCTCCGCATCAGGTGTTCTGGCTTCTGCAGAATCTTGTGATTATGGAGTTTATTTTCTATCTTAGCCTTTATAAAATGAACAATTACTTATGTTATGCATGGCAAATATATCATTTAATGCATACTATAGTAAAATATCTTTTCAGTTGATTAATGCATGTATTCTTAATTGTGTATGTTAACCATTGAAGGCACCCTAATATCAGCAGTCAGAGTGGGGCTATTTGCCTGGACATCTTGAAGGACCAGTGGAGCCCAGCACTCACTCTGAAGACTGCACTTCTTTCAGTGCAGGCACTTCTCTCTGCCCCTCAGCCTGATGATCCTCAAGATGCTGTTGTAGCACAGCAGGTCGACTTTTTCTGTTGTGTAGTTGTGTCTCTACTCTTACGAAATGTTTTTTCTCCTATTCTTTGTGTGTAGACTTGCCAAAGCACATCATATTGAAGAATTATATACTTTGTATAGGTTTCTGCTAGATCAAGTTCTGTTAATATTGCTTATTTTTCTTAAGTCCTTCTCATTCTAAACCAATGTCTATCTATTGACAATGCAGTATCTGAAAGAGTATCAGACATTTGTTAGCACTGCTCGCTACTGGACAGAAAGTTTTGCCAAGACATCATCTCTTGGAATTGAAGATAAGGTATCAAGCTTGTTGCATTCATGTTATTAGAATGTGGATGTACATTATTGAGCATATTTTAATTTATCTTATCAGTGTACATCATCTCTTGGAATTGAAGATAAGGTATCAAGCTTGTTGCATTCATGTTATTGGAATGTGGATGTACATTATTGAGCATATTTTAATTATCTTATCAGCGTGCAACATTCTCTTAAGATTTAAGACATTCTTTATTTCTTTCTTACATGGGTTTGTTTTTGAATAAGTTGGCAGTTGAGTTTAATTTTTCACACAAGCATGTATGGTACATCTAGAGTTGGCTTTGAATCACTCATGCACGTCGTGCGTGTATGCATCATTTTTATTTTTATTTTTATTTTTGTTTTAATTGCATTTTAGGGTTAAGCGACATCATATAGAAGGGTGTTTAAGTCAAGTATTAATGGTTATTGATTTTTCTTATATCCAGATAATTGATTTGAGAGCAATGGGTTTTTTTTATCAATCATAATTCTTTTGTTTAGTCAATTTTCTGTGCATTCGGCATCAATCTAGTTTTATCTGTTGTTAAAATACTTCACTAGAGGAAATTTAAGAATGATCTAGTGATCCAGTCAATATTATTATTATTAGACACTGCTTTTATGATCATTTTATAAGAAGATGATATACCTAATAGTTTTATTTATAATCAATCATAACTTTTAAGTTTATGTATCTTATAATTTTATTCCAAAATTGTGTTTTGAGTTTGAAAATTGACTTGCGTTGGTATCCATAACTAGTTTAAGAATATTGATAATTTACTTTTGATTAAGTCCCTAATTATGAAATTTAAGCTACTTTGGCAATTATTTTAATTTCCACTCTAATATATCAATTATGACAATATTTGCATTACTTAGTTCTATATAGCTTACAATTTCTATTTAATTTGGTACAGGTACAGAAACTCGTTGAGATGGGATTTCCGGAAGCTCAAGTAAGGAGCATTTTGGAAGCTGTTGGTGGTGATGAAAACTTGGCTCTTGAAAGGCTGCTGTAGCTTATGTATGAGATATCAGCTAAATCATTTTGATCATTGTGAAGTTTAGGATTGTTACTGGAAGATGGTTGAACCATATAGACAAAAGGGTTTATTGAATATAAAGTAATATCGTATAGTCTTTTTGTTTCACTCTGTCATCTTTTTTCTCTTTGAAAACTTTGGTACTCGAGACATTTTCCAAAATGTTATATAGGAGGTATGAAATTAAATACCTCATTGGCAAGATTTCTGCTTCATGGATGAATCGTTCCAGACTGTGTTCATGGTGTATTAAGCAGGTTGGATAAAAAGGGTATAGTTGAGGGATGAAAGGCAAACAGATTGGTAATTTTGGTGGATGTTTTTGCCTTGCCCATTTTAAAATATTATTCAAGACATGGATGAAATGGCACTGTTACATTTTGGCATGCAAATTATTTAAACGTGCATGAATGATTCCTTCTGGTGGGCTGGTTCAATATATATGGATATAAAACTTCTCAAAAACCAACTTCTCCTGCCACTCACATAAAGAAACAAGCCTTTTTTTTTTTTTTTTCTAAAAACGGTAGGGTCCATTTTTCTTGTCTTCAGCTGCAAAATTCTCTTCTCAAACTTGCTGGCACAGGTGTTCATCAATCGATTTAAAATGTGGTGATTGAATCAAAAAAATCGATAACTGAAAAATTGAAAATTGAAAAAAGATTGCATATTTTAATTGGATTGGATTGGATTGGTTTTCAGTTTGGTTGGTGAAAATTGATTCAATCCAAACCGATTCAATGTATTATGTATTTATTATTTTTGAAAGATTATGACTTGAAATCTTGTTGTTTTGTAGATTTGAATCTTGGAAATTATTAATAGCAAAGTATCTTGTTTTAGTTTTTTATTGTCTATTAATCAATTTTTACTTTTCATCAGTTTTAAGACTTCTTTTAGTTTAAAGAATTTTCTAGTGGTTTGTAACTTTGTATGATTTTATTTTGATATAACTAGTGATCTTTATGATTGAAATTTTAGTCTTTTCAAAAAATCGAAAATCAATCCAATCCAAACCGAATAAAATTGGATTGAATTTTAAAAAAAAATCAAAACCGAATGGAGGATTAAATAATCAAATCGAAGGAATTGGATCGGATGATTTTTGTTTCAAAATCGATTCAATTCAGATCGCGAACACCCCTACTTGCCGGAGAAGTATAAAGCCATATATATATATATATATATATGAGGTAAGATCATTTGACACCAGTGTCAAATTTCAAATTTGACACCTCATCTGATAGCCGTTAGATAAAAAAAATCAATAGTTTCATATGCTTGTAAATCAGAGTCGTTGATCTTTTTTGATCTAACGCTTATCAGATGAGGTGTCAATTGGACACTGGTGTCAAAGGATCTTACCCCTATATATATATATGAAAAAATATTTCTCCAATCACTTAAGATAAATTTATCTCCAGTCATTCCCTTATAATTATGTACTCTGCGAAGTATATAATTATAATATTAAAATTATTATTTTTTTAGTGGAATCTACATCCTTTTTTTATAGACGAATCCATATCTTTTTTGAGTGATATGATACAAAAAATTTCCATATATATATATATAGAGGTAGGAGGGGTGAAAATGGGCTGGGCTGTGCCAAGCTTTGCTCCGAAAAGTCCAAGCCTACGCAAAAAATTTCAATTTGACCTGGCCCAAGCCTAGTACGAATCTAACTGTTAGCCTGACTTGGCCCGTTTATGAAAAAACAAATGGTCTGGCCTGGCCCGTTAGCCTGTTCATTTTTAACTTCCAAACAGAACCATGAATCAACATTTCAAAATACTCAAATTCTGTTGCTAAACCAAAAATCATAATTTCAATGTGCAAACAGAATCATGAATCACAACAAAACTCATACAACCTGCATTTAAGTTACTTTCAAAAGCAAAATGCTCAAACTAAATAACATATATTTTATCATATCCAACAAACAAATTTATACTATATAAATTAAAATAACTACATGAATCCAATAAACACTTCGTGATGTTTGTAGTAATATAACCTCTCCCAAAAACATTTTAATATATTCATATACACAATCTAATATGCTGAGATGTTGGTTCCTCCTACAAAGAAATAAAGTCAGATTTCTATTAAAATAAAATCGAATATAATTAAGTTATAAATAATTGCAATTGATTAAATTTATATCTTTTATTTTTTCTTCAAGGCATACTTATTCTATATTATTTTATTTAAAATAAATAATACACTGTAAGCCGACCTATAGGCTTATAGGCCAAGCCTTGTAAAAGTGGACCTACGGTCTTTTTATTAAACAAGCTTTTTCAAGGTCCAAGGCCGGCCTATTTTACGAAATATACTACGTCAGGTCTGGCCTGACATAGGCAGAGTCGTAGGCCCCTGTAGGCCGGTCTGGCCCAGTTTTACCCCTAGGTAGGATCCTCTGACACCAGTGTCAAATTTAAAATTTGACACCTCATCTGATAGTTGTTAGATCAAAAAATATCGACGACTCTGATTTGTAAGCATGTGACACCATTGATCTTTTTTTATCTAATAGCTATCAGATGAGGTGTCAAATTTCAAATTTGATACTAAAGAATCCTACCTTTATATATATATATATATATATATATATATATATATATATATATATATATTGGAAATATGCTTTGCTAAGTTAGTTCAGGAGTAAAGCTGTCTCTCTACATCTTTTTTCAACAGCAAGCCCTTGATTAATAGGGATTAATGGGGATTAATAGGCACTATTTGTGTTGGTTAGACAGGTAGTGATGTACCTGAGCAGGCAACATAGACGTGGACATTTGTTCTGCATTAATGCACTAAGTCACTAACAATTAATTGTGAATCAAATTATGTCAAGAACCAAACCAAAAGAAATAAAATAAAATGCAATTCCCCACTAATACAATGTTTTAATCAATTTATTAACTTATGGTCTTTGAAGTTACAGCACTGAAAAGGTTTCTAAGGAATAAATATTTGATATTACTGTTATATTAAAAGTTCAGTGTATCTCACCAATAAAAATATTATATGTCAGTCAAAGTTCTTTTTTTTCTGTCCAATTTTTTTTTCTCTCCTCTAATGTGTAATTCTTCTATTGGTAGAATGCACTAAATTTAAGTACAACAGTAACACCTAAAATTTATTTTACATAATGAAAAATGGTAGTCAGAGTTGGCTTTCTGGCAAGTAGAGGCCGACAGATGGCAAAGAAAGCAATGGGACCTACCAAACTAATTATTACCCATCCTATTAGCGGTTCATGTTTCCCAATGGCATATTCCCAATATGTGTACACTCCTACTAGAAAAAAATAATCAATTTTTGTGTTTAAAAATTAAAACACCTAAAGAAGCAAAAGGTAAAGATATATGCAACTGAAGTTGTATCCGAATTTGACCATTTAAAAAAAAACGGTCGTATTTGGAAGTTGAATGTGGGATTGTCACTAATAGAAAATTAAAGATCGGACTTTGGGAATCCTATCTAAATTTGTAAGCAGCTCTAAACCAGAATATTCTTTTTGCGTACCGGGAGTGTTTGGTTGAGGAGAAATTTTTTGAATACTAGGGAAATGTAATTACTAGAAAAATGGTTGGAAAATGAGTTTGGTAGGAAAATGTAAAAAAAGTTGTTTGGTTGACCGAAATATTATCAGAGAAATTTATTTAAATTTACAAAATCTATGTTCTGGAGAAACTTCGCACCTGTTTTTTCACCTCCCTAGTTATCTCAAAATACCACATCTCAAGTGGTATTCTGTAACAGTGAATTTCATTCAAAAATCAACACAAAAGTCATTTCCCCATCTATCCTACTTACCTAGTATTTTTTTAAAAACCTGAACCAAACATGATATTTTCCAATATCCACTTACACTTTTCCATCAATCCCAAAATAAATCTTCTACCAAACACTACCATAAAGATTTGTGGCTAGAAATGTCCGAACAAAGAAAAAAAAAATTTCTAATCATGTTCTGAGTTTTTTCCCCTTAAAAATTGATTAAGAATATCAACAAAAGACTTAAGAGTCCGTTTCTTTGCACTTTTAAAAAAAGTAACTTTTATCTTTTTCTTATTTTACAAGTTCTTTTTACAAAAGTTAAAGTTATTTTTATAAATATTTAGATTTTAAAAAAAAATATTTGACTTTTGACTTTTGCTTTTTTTAGAAGTTAAAATTTTTAACTTCAGAAAAAAGTAGGTTTTTGATTTTTTTTTGTGACTTCTGCTTTTTTTAAAAGCAGACATCCAAACGAACTAAAAATGAAAAGTGCTTTTTTTCAAAAAAAAAAAAAAAAGAAAGTAACTTCTGGAGAAAAAAAAAGCTATCCAAAGAGGCTCTTATTATACATGCTATATAAGTATAATTTCATTTACATAGATGTGCAGCTAAAAATAAAAAATAAAATAAAATTGGATGTGGTAGCTATTAATTGGCAGTATTACCGATTTTTTCCATGGTCCCAATAGTAGCTCCGAAACTATCGGTAAATATTTGTATAGATCTTATTTCAAAGTTTTGCATGAATAATGTGTTTATAATTTATTGGTTTACATTATCCAATTTTTGTTCAAAGAAATTTTTTTTCTATGCTAAGTCATAACGTCAAGAAAAAGAAAAATATTTTAGGTGATACTTGAACACCCATTATTCAGTCTCATGTCAGGGGAAAGAAAAAAAAAACCGCCCTAGATAATTTATTTATAATAGATGTCTCATTTTTTAATGAGATTAATGTCTATTTGAGAACTCTTAACTTTAGTTTTTTCTCTCTCTTATAAACAGAAGTTTTTATCATGAATGAGATTAAAGTTTATAAGTTTAGTCAAATATAATTTTTATAAAAATTCTTATTATGAAAAGAGTTTTTTTCATAACGAAAAAAGAAGAGCTAAAAACATCTGAGAGTAAAGTAATTTTTTTTTAAGATATATATATGTCAGTATTTTGGAGTTCTCATATTTAGTTTTCAATTATATTTTTATTTTAAATTTTTATTGATAAATTTATCAGATAGAAAATCATTTTATAACAAATAATTTTATATAATTATCAAATAACTTTTAATTTTATTTTTAAAAAATTAACTTAAAAATAACTTTTAACTCTAATACCTATTACACTGAATGCGATGGAAGCGCTCAAATTTCTCTCAAGAAAAAGACCCTTGGCCTGAGCTCGG